TTGGAGGCTCAGCACGGGGCCCTCCCCTGCATCCGTCACTTTTTCAGAGATTTCTTCTATTTTCTTTAATGATATACAGACCTCAGTTGTTTTCATTTCAGTATCAGCTTTGGTAATCAGTATTTCTCTTTCTGTTTCTTTCAAATGATTCTCTTTTGAGGAAGTTTTTAGATTTAGATTGTTCGCAGCTGGCATCTCTCCTTCCAACAATTGTTCTATATCCTTTTCATTTTTTTTTTCTCTGGATATCTCGATTTCGATTTCTGCACTTGGAATCTTCATTTTGGCTGCTGACACACTTATCGCTGTTTCTGTGCCTGCTTCTAGTGATTTTTCTTCCTGTTGCACTTTTCTGTCTCTGTCGCTTAACTGACTTTCACTTTGCCCTGTTTCCTCCTTTGTATGTGCCCATGTAAATGTAGGTAATTTAAGCTTTGGCAGTCTGAATTTGCTTTCTTTTCCCTCTATATCCTTTTCTCCTATCTTTATGCCAATATCTGTCTTTTTCTCACTACTGGGCATGTCATCTTCTTCTGTCTGTGTGTTTTTTATAGTATCTACTGATTCTACTATCCTTTCTTCACTTGATATTTTCATGTCAGCTTTAGGAGTCTTGCCCATTTTGAATGAGGGCATTTGTATTTTCCAAGTAGATATTTCTGATTCTGCATCAGGCATTTGAGGTTTCACATCCACAATTGTTAGCATTTGTGTGTCATCTTCTGCTTGTTTTTCTCCTGTTTCCACTGTGTCAGGTGGTGTGTGTAATTCTGCTTTAGCAGTGCCTATTTCTAGGCCTTTTACTTTTATAGATCCTTGTGGTGTCTCACCCATCATGTCTACGTTAATTCCACTTTCTCTTTCTGCTTTATCTGCTGTTCCTTTCTGTTTCTTTTTCCGGGATTTTGTTGAGGCTTGTGGTGTTTGTTTAGTTGGGCTTTCTTTCAGATCAGGTGTTTCTAAACTGGGCTTTGGTATCTGCGTTGTTATAGCTGGTACTTCAGGTGCAGTAAATTTTGCTGTTGATTCCTTGTCTTTTTCTTTTTTAGTGCTTATTTCAACTTCAGGGCATTTTTTCATATGAGATGGAATGCCATTTTTCGTCTCTTTTAAGTCTTTCATTAAAGTTTCATGTGCCTCCCCAGTTTTAATTTCATAAGCAGGAGAAGTGGTATATTCCACAGTTAGTATTTCAGGATTTTCCAGGCTGATGTCTTCTCTATGTATTTTTTCTCTTTCAGATAACAGTGTAGTTTTTATTTCTTTTTTTTGCTTGTCTTGTGTTTCTGGCTTGGATCTGTGCATTTTGAATCCAATGCTAGGGAACTTCAGTTTCTTTTGGCTTCCTTTTTTTTCTTTGATATGGACTTCCTGTTGAAATTGAGACTCTGTGTCTGTGCTTGTAGGGGAAACATCCTGTATAGCAGGCTCATACGCATCTGATGTACTGTGAGATCTTCTGTGCCCCAGTATCTTTTTATTTTTAATTGACTGGAATTTCGGCCATGATAATCTATCTTTTTTAGGTCTCTTGCTTCTTCCTACCCTTTGGCTTACAATTAATGTTTCTCTGTCTTCTTCTGAAATGTCTTTTCCTGAAACATGCAGTGTTTCTTCAGGAATGCTCTCACTGAGTTCTTTTTCCTGAAAGAACAAATAGTAGTCAGAAGATTAAAAGTAAACTAAATATAAATGCAACACAAAATAAAATACATAAAATATATAGAAAAAAGTGCTTTTTATTCACAATATCTACATACAATATAAAAGAAATCCTAAAAATGGTGTGTATTATTCAGGCAGAAATTACATAAAACAAATGGATTGTATGACTGTAATATGAAGATTTCTGAAGATTTATGTTCTCTGCAAAACATTGCAGTAAAGAGGTTTCTATATGTATCTCTACCTACATGTCTGTACAAATATATATATAATATTTATATATATGTATATGAAGAGGAAAATAATTTTGAACGTGATGGAGACCTACGAGCAGATCATGTCTATGGAGCCATCAGTGATTAAACACATAATTTTAAGAGAAAATTTCATTGATGAGCTTTTGAGAAAAATATTTACTAATATTTTACATTTTAGAAAATAATATTGAATATAAATATTATAGAACTTATCTGGGCCTGTTCTATTAGTAGACACTTAACAACAAAAAAAAATCTGGCTCGCTAGAGAAGAATGTTTTTCTCCCTAACGCAAGATTGTGGCTTTATCTAAAATGTATAGTCTTGCCCAGGATATTTGTAAAGCTGCAAATGTTGTTTGGGAATTTGTTCTTCTCATGAATATTCATGCTAGTAAGTTTAAACACATGCCTAAGTCTTAAGAAGACATTTGTGTATTTTCTGGTCTGTTTCCATATACCACATTACTACAGTGTTATCCAAACTTTGTAAGCTAATCAAATAACTACCTGGCTTAATCTTTCCTTTTTGTACTGGGCTGTGGAGTGAATGTGTTCTAGCTCTTCTTTCCCAGCAATTTTTCTTTTGAGGCTGAATTGGACTCTGTATGGCTCGGAATATTGGAGAATCTTGAGTGCATCTTCGTATTTGATATTATCGAAAAATATTGTAGCACTTAGAAGCTGATCACCTGCAAGTGGAATCAGACATCATTTTAATTAGTTTGTGATTTCTTGCAGTTTTTAAAATTCTGTTGAATTAATGCTCGTTAAATAAAAAATATTATCACATCCCATTTATTTTAAATATAAATTGATGTTCACATAATAAAATCACAGAAGAGTTAAGGCTGGAAAGGATTTCTGGAGATCATCTAGTCCAACTGCCCTGATCAGGGGAGGGCCAGTTATGGCCAGTTGTTCGGGTCTATGTGCAGCCACGTTTTGAGTATTTCCAAGGATAGTGACTCCACAACCTCTCTGGAAAACTTGTTCCAGTGTCTGACCACCCTGACAGTGACAAAGCTTTTTTTTATATTTTTCAGTATTTAGACACTGGACTTGTTTTCTTCTTGTTTAAATCATTATTTATTGTAGTTTTGTGGCATACTATTTTGCAAAAGAATTAAAGGCAAGTTTTTCGTTAATGTTATGAGTTGGGTATTGTTTCATTTTAGTGGTGTATACACTACTTTCTATGTATCTTTTTCACTGTTCCAATGAAAATTAGATAATTTTTTTTGTATCCAAAAAATATCACATTTCATCATTGTTTAACAAACTTATGTTTGAAACTATTAATATGGAAAGGTTAAGCTCACACATACTATTACTTGGTTTGGGATCTACTATTTCTATTACCTAAAGAGATGACAGATGAGGCAGGTATCTATATGCATGCATAGCTACACACCTGATTTTTTTAAGATATATTTAAAAAAAAAACCCAACAGAGAATTGGACCGTACCTTCTCTCAGACTAAATATTTTTGAAGCAGGAGATTCCTTAAGTACTTTTTTGATAAATATTCCTTCATGTCCTCCACCCATCACACTAAAACCACTAGCACCAGCTTCCACTTCTGTTTTCAGGGTCACTTCCATTGTCTCCTAGATATAGAAAAAGGTGTGAATTTATAATTCTTATTCATTTGTATCAAAGTTTTCTACATTATTCTACAATAAAAAATTGAGTCTCCTCAGGTTTATATTCAGTAGCTCAAGAAAGATTATCTAAAATAGAGAATGTACTTGTTCAGTGTGGGTTTGATTCTCTTCTAAATCAGAATTAAGCACATGTGTTAGGGCTACACTGAATCAAGGTCATAGGGAAAACAGGTTATGATTTTAAAATGTGAAATATATGAAATCTTTTAGGCCTGAAATACTGTATTTTATGTGAAGATGTTAAGCACCTGAATTAGCGTAAATGGGCCAGAAAAGTCAGACAAAGAGCTAATGCTGTATTGCAGTCAAACCAGAGAAGGCTCAAAAATACTAAAAAGAATTACGGAAGGACCCCAAATAGGACAAGTAAGCGTTCATGCCTGTGCCGCAACTAGGCAATTTGTGAAGTTCCTGATCAAAACAAGTCTAAAGTGATTCTTTGCCCATTTGTCCTTCCCTCTGTCCACCCATCCATGTCTGTGTGTTGCAATCGACTTTACTATTTTGCAAGCCATATGCCTAAAACTGTGGAGTGCTTTTAGACCGACCTGTGGATGACTCTGTTTTGATTTGTCTGTAGGATATTTTTTATTTTCTTCTTGAAGCTGAAAAATAATTTGCAATTATTTAGTGTTCAGAAGTCATGCTGTTGTAAAGTACAACAGAATTCCTACATCGGTTAAAATCTCTGGTTTAGACTAAGAACTGAGGCTGACTTTAATGGCAACAGAGCAAAATCAGGATCTACAAGTCTAATCTACAATGTGAATGATTTAACTATATTATTCCCAGTAGTAAATTAGATGCCAAGGCCCCCCTGCATTGTACCAAAATTTGCATGAAAAGAATACCAGAAACCAATTGTATTACAACATTGGGAGCTTTTCTGTGCGTTACTCATGTAGCACACTTCTCATGTTTTCATCTTTGTGAACATACATTTTTTTCATTTATTTGACTTCAGCATGAATGTCAAACTGTTGCCTACTTATCTTAACATGACTGTACTAATTAAATCTTTAACTTTGAATAACCAAGAGGTACAGGTAATTTTGAAATACGTATTAGTTAGATTCAAGCCAGTTAAATATTCTAATAGGAAAAACATTGTGATTTCTTGACACTCTCTGGCCCAGGCCTTTTAAGGATTTTTTCTTTAATGCATTTTTTGCCAAGAAACAAGTATATGGACAACAACAAGCGCAGTACCATATAAAACCATCAATGAATAGGGCCCTGATTTTGGTTGGGACAGGAAGACAATATGGCTGCAACAACATCCTGTTACATGACACATAAGCCTTAGCTAGTATCGTGGTTTAGGCTAGTTGTAGGAGCTAAAGCCTCTTGGTAAAGCCATGCCTGCAAGAAAACTCGGCGTCTTGCCTTTAAATATTCTTCTTCTATGGAATATTCATAAACTGGAGAGGATCCTTGTGGCCTTGGACGGATGTCTTCTACTGCCACTTCATTAACCTGTGGAAAAGAAATGAGTGCTGGAACATCCACCATTAAACAGTGAGCCACATTTTTAGGAGAGTTTTTCTATGAAGCATAGTCTCCTTCTTCATACAAATCTTTCATTAGTAATGGTGGATACAGAATAACAAATAGCTCTTTCCTTAGATCGAGAACAAATACAATTCTCATTTAAGGATTTTACTGAAGAACACAAGGGACGGACTCCTGAGAGACAAAAACAATAGTATGCTGATTTTGGTTCTCTTTATGAATTATACACATCTATGGGCTGAACAGACTGAAAATACTGACAAATCAATTAGTAATAATTGAAAAAGGCAATAAAAATTCCCTCCCCTGCCTTATTTGCATACCTAACTTCTGTATCCTATGGCTTCAAACTTTATTGCCCTCTATAACCAAGCAAACCATGGAAGAATCCCAGCAGG